GAAAAGGACAAATCCGTGTTTAACAAACAGCAAAAAAGATTAGTGTCGAGTAATGTTTCCAGCAATCATAAATGCACTTTAACACTATACAGAATAGTATACGGTGGGGAATCGAACAGGGGTAACCAGCGTGTCAAGGGAACGCTTAACTACTGTGCAACCCAGTGTTGTGAGCCGGCAGTGATGCAGAAGTGTTCACAGATGACAGTAAACATGTGTGAGTGAGTGAGTGAGTGAGTGAGTTTAGTTTTACGACACACTCAGCAATAATCAAGTGAAGATTCCGTTTCACGGGGCCCAACGTCAATGCCAGATCTCTTAACATGAAATTATGCGAGAAGGCCCACATTTGAATTTAACACCTAATCAGCAGACACGCGTAGACATTGTTGTTTCTCCAGACAATTTATATTGAAATGGAGCCCCAGGGAGACCAGAGATGCAGAGGAAATCTAGACTTGCTTCATTTAGAGATTTCGCATTGCTGAGAGGGCTCGGCAGTAGGGAAATTAATGTGGTTCAGGGACAGTGAGATAGGCTATTGGCAATCATAACTATAATATAGTAAGGCAGGAATGGTTTAGTTTTGCAACGAGTGCTACTATTATGTCGCCGCTCATTGTGACGCAAAAGATATGACTTCACAGTCAGTTACAGCAAAACGTCACCAAATAGACAAACTGTTGTCCTTAAGACCTTGCATACAGTCGTTATGAGGCAAAAATAGGACGTCAGAGTCAGTTACAGAAAAGCGTCATATCACAGGCACTCTGTTGTCCCAAAGACATTGAATGCAGTCGTTGTAAGGCAAAACATGAAATCAGAGTCAGTTACAGAAAAGCGTCACAAACAGGCACTCTGTTGTCCCAAAGACTTTGGATACAGAGTCATTGTACAGAGTCAGAAAAGCGTCATATCACAGGCTCTCTGTTGTCCCAAAGACTTTGAATGCAGTCGTTGTAAGGCAAAACATGGGAGGTCAGAGTCAGTTACAGAAAAGCGTCATATCACAGGCTCTCTTTTGTCCCAAAGACTCCGAATTCGTTGTAAAGGCAAAGACAGAGTCAGTTACAGAATACACTCATATCACAGGCTCTCTGGTTGTCCCAAAGACTCCGAATACACTCATTTTAAGGCAAAACATAGGACGTCAGAGTCAGTTACAGAAAAGCGTCATATCACAGGCTCTCTGTTGCCCCTAAGACTTTGAATACACTCTCCCACTGACAAGACACCCTTCCGAATCACTCACAGCAACACCGTTATTCGGGAGGTCGTCCTAGACAGTTTCCCACATTCATCCAGTATTAATCTTGTCACGCGCGACCCACGTGACCCTCTGCCATTAATGTCACAACAAAAGCTGAAGCCATTCATCACGTCGGAAAATCCCAGCAAATCCTTTACTGGGGACATCTTTATTTCAAGTTAGCATATATAATCCTAGAGAGAGACACGCTCTCTGTGCAAAAAGATGACAGACGCCTTTGTTCCCAGATACAGACACGCTCTTTGTCCAAAAAGATGCGGGCATCTAAATGTCTTTAAAAATGTCGAAGCGGTCCTTGTGAGGATGTTGAAGTAGCGTCACGTAACAGTACGCTGTCGTTGTCGCAATAATGCTCCCTTACAGAGCATGTCACTACAACCTATTTTCAGGCCAGGTTATTAAAATTTAATTTTGTATGAACCTTGTTTTCATTTTTAATCTGAGTTTATTCCTAGACTCGAAGTAGCCGAATGGTTTTGACGATCAAGATTCGAATCCCAGCAGGAGAGATGATTTCTGAAACCATGCTATTGTTGAAATATTGAAAAAGGGGCGTGTTCTAGAACTAGGATCCGTAGTTCCTAAAATAATAATAATTTGTTTCTCCTAAACTGAGCTTATATCATTTTCAAAAGCTTATGAGTTCGGAAACTGAAATATTCCGCACCATTATTGGACTGTGACATTATTTCAGTGCATTTCACATTATTTCAAATTATCTCACATTATTTCTGTGCATTTCACATTATTTCAAATGATATCACATTATTTCTTTGCATTTCACATTATTTCAGTGCATTTCACATTATTTCAAATTATCTTACATTATTTCAGTGCATTTCACATTATTTCAAATTATCTCACATTATTTCAGTGCATTTCACATTATTTCAAAGTATCTCACATTATTTCAGTGCATTTCACATTATCTCACATTGTTTCAGTGCATTTCACATTATTTCAAATTATCTCACATTATTTCACATTATCTCACATTATTTCAATTTATATCACATTTTTCCAATATATATCACATTATTTCAAATTATCTCACATTGTTGTCACATCATGAACAACATTGAACAGTACATCCCGCGCATATCCCAAAGATACTTCTATGAGAGGATCACTAGAAAACAGTCATGCGTTATGATGTAGTGATCGTAGAACACATTCTCTAAGCAGGGGAATAACACATTTTACCTTTCTTCCTGTCGAGTATTTTGGTAAAAGGAACTGAATCTGATTTGTACTGGATAATGTCTCAATTAAAACAACAAAATGAAAAAGCCCTGTGTTTCAACAGGAGCACCGGGTGTATTTCATCATATTTCGTCCACTCATCGTTTGGTATTGCTTAAACGGTGTTAATGCTCGTTTTCTTTCTGCTGGTATTGTTTTTCTTCAACACACATGGTAAATCAAGTACTGAAAAACTTATTATGTATTTAGTGATGAAAAGTATATATGAAGACGTAAAATACACCAAATTTACAATCTACCTCCGTTATGTATTTATCCGTAGGATATGACATGGTAGATAAAACATATGTCTGATCCTGTTAGAAAACTTGTTTATGACATGCCTTGACCAGAAATATCATGACATTTCCTGCGTGACAAAAATACAGGATATATTTTTCACTCGTAACTACGTTTAGGAAATACTAATTTGTCACAAGATGAGTTATTCAGCATATTTGTCACATAGAGATTCGTCCTTTACATTGTAAAGGCGAAGAACGCATATGGATTAAAAACGGCAATAAATGTAAAATTTATTGGATTGCATACGATAAAAATCGCTGAATGTGTTAACTTAACAAAATATTTTTTTAATTGCCATCATCAATACATCAGATACATTATGTTTGTGCTGTATCCGTGGTATTCAGGGTAATCATATGAAAAAAGTACAAGAAAAATGATTTGTGAATATTACCACGAGTGTAGTTTCACATTCTTCTCTGTTGTACATGTATGTGTTCACTATCCCACATTGTAACCTTCTAATAGCCTTTCTGTTTACTGTTTTCAAGATATTTCGCTGTAAGCAGGATCCGTAGGCGGGAATACCTGTGATTTATGTTCCACCTTCACAGGTGAGTGTAATCTTAAGGAGAAATACATTTTGACTTCTAGTTTAGACGTAGACAGTAAAAATAAGATGATGGACGGGTTTACATTGTATTCTGCACGTGATAATTCTCACCCATAATATTTACTGGGTAAGGAAGAAACCGGGTTGTTTTATATTTTGACGTCAGAAGGAGCACTTGTTGAACACGTGATTTAGTGTGTGGCTGAGTGCACGGGTGGGTGCGCGGTGTTCGTTGTTTTCTGTTGAGTACGTGACTGAGAGCGGGGATGAGGTCATGGCTAAGTGCGTAGTAGTATACGGGGTTGAATTAATGGTTGAGTGCGTGGCTAACTGCATGGTTGAATTAATGGTTGAGTGCGTAGCTAAGTGCAGGGTTGAGTTCATGGTTGAGTGCGAGGCTAAGTGCAGGGTTGAGGTAATGATTCAGAGCGTGGCTAAGTGCAGGGTTGAGTTCATGGTTGAGTGCGAGGCTAAGTGCAGGGTTGAGGTAATGATTCAGAGCGTGGCTAAGTGTGGAATCAGTTCATGGTTGAGTGCGAGGCTAAGTGCAGGGTTGAGTTCATGGTTGTGAGCGTGGTTAAGTGCAGGGTTGAATCCTAACGTGAAAGTGTTGCTGCGTGAGTGAGTTTTCTGTGCTGAATGAGCAAATGTGCGTGAGTGAGTTGTGTGTGGTGAGGGGGCGGTAGGGTAGCCTAATGGTTAAAGCGTTGGCTCGTCACGCTGATGACCCGGGTTCGAATCCCCACATGGGCACAATGTGTGAAGCCCATTTCTGGTGTCCCCCGCCGTGATGTTGCTAGAATATTGCTAAAAGCGGCGTAAAAACCAAACTCAGTCAGTCAGTTTGTGTGGTGAATGAGTGAGTGAGTTTGGTTTTACGTCGCTTTCAGCAATATTCCAGCAATATCACGCAGGGGACACCAGAAATGGGCTTCACACATTGTACCTATGTGGGGAATCGAATCCGGGTCTTCAGCTTGACGAGCCAACACTTTAACCACTATGCTACCCCACCGCCCCAGTGAATGAGTAAACATGCTGCGTGTGGCTTCATGAGTGAGTTGTGTGTGGTGAATGAGCTGCTGAATGCGTTAGTGAATGAGTTTGCATTTGGCAAAAACATTTGACTACACAGCATTTGGTATTTCTTGGCACATCAGTTGAATGTGGTAGAAAACTGCATGAAGGATGTTTACCAGCATGACACTGTAACATCACGACACTCGAACTCTGATATTTTGTGGTCAGAACGTTTTCGCAGTTTCTCCTGCTTGTCATGATAGTGATCTATCGAAACTTTAATACTATCTTTAAACAGAAAGCTGATCTTACACACTGAGTGAGTGAGTGAGTTTAGTTTTACGCGGCACTCAGCAATATTCCATCTATATGGCGGCTGTCTGTAAATACTCGTGTCTGGACCAGACAATTCAGTGATAAACAGCATGAGCATCGATCTAAGCAACTGAGAACCGATGACATGTGTCATCCAAGTCAGCGAGCCTGACCACCCGATCCAGTTAGTCGCCTCTTACGACAAGCATGGGTTACTGAAGATCAATATTCTAACCCGGACCTTCACGGGTTTCTTACACAATGAACGTTTCTGTATATGAAATAGGTACTTACACGTCTTGAGAGACACACCCTCGTCCCCAGGGGCATTCAGCTCCCTCATATGGTTGTAGAGGATGCCGAAGGTGTTGACTGTCCCCATGACGCTGCCGTTCACCCAGAAGCACGTTGCACACACGACCCAGCCCCACCCCCTGTCTGGCGGGACAAAGTCCAGGCCTTGGGTATTGGAGACACAAGTTGCATGTACCCTTGAGGAATTCCTCTCTGTGTTGTCAGACTCTCCCTGTAAGTTTCCAGGGGTCGATCCACGAGCACCTGCTGTAGAATTACCATTGACATATGGGTGGAGGTCTGATTCCCCTCCCTGTTTCATGTTGGATGGATGGTTTAAGAGACAATGCTACCGTATATATCATTAAGGGAGTATCCTCTGTGATATACCTGTCTGATCTTCCAATGCATCAGCCATGTTCTCAGTTTTCAGTTGTAAGGATATGCGACACTCCTTGTTTAACTGTGATGCACCCTTGACGGAGACTGATTGACGTCCGACCTGCTCCAGCGTCAGATCCGTGTAGATTTTAATAGGGACGCAGCACGGTCAGCAACTCGCGTGCGTGTTGGAACTAGGTGTTCTGTAATCTCCAGTCTGTTATCCGTCCTGCAGGCCCCGTTGCCAACAGTTACAAGACACACGTTGCAATGAGGCTGTGTATGTAGGACATGCTGTCATTCAAAACAGTTACCTGTGTCACACTGTGGAATGTCATCTGAAACAAAAGACTCACAATGTCCCAGTGTTGAATGTCATTCAGTATTGGGTCATATGACATATGTTAGTGCTGAATGCCAAATTAATATAGGATCATATCACACGGTCTTACTGTTGAATGTCAAACTAATATAGGGTCATATCACACGGTCTTACTGTTGAATGTCAAACTAATATAGGGTCATATCACACGGTCTTACTGTTGAATGTCAAATTAACACAGGGTATTATCACACGGTCTTACTGTTGAATGTCAAACTAATATAGGGTCATATCACACGGTCTTACTGTTGAATGTCAAATTAATATAGGGTCATATCACACGGTCTTACTGTTGAATGTCAAATTAATATAGGGTCATATCACACGGTCTTAGTGTTAAATGTCAAATTGGTATAGGGTCATATCACACGGTCTTACTGTTGAATGTCAAACTAATATAGGGTCATATCACACGGTTATACTGTTGAATGTCAAATTAATATAGGGTCATATCACACGGTCTTACTGTTGAATGTCAAATTAATATAGGGTCATATCACACGGTCTTAGTGTTAAATGTCAAATTGGTATAGGGTCATATCACACGGTCTTACTGTTGAATGTCAAACTAATATAGGGTCATATCACACGGTTATACTGTTGAATGTCAAATTAATATAGGATCATATCACACGGTCTTAGTGTTAAATGACAAATTGGTATAGGGTCATATCACATACTGTTGAATGTCAAATTGGTATAGGATCATATCACACGGTCTTAGTGTTAAATGTCAAATTGGTATAGGGTCATATCCCACAGCGTTGAATGCCAAATTAATATAGGGCCATCTCACACGGTCTTAGTGTTGAATGTAAATTGGTATAGGGTCACATCACACAGTATTGAATGTCAAATTAATATAGGGTCATATCACACGGTCTTGGTGTTGAGTATCATATTATTATAGGGTCATATCACACGGTCTTAGTGTTGAGTGTCCAAGTAGTACGGGGTCATATCACACGGTCCTAGTGTTGAATGTCATTCAGTACAATGTCACATTTCACTAGGTTCCATCATTGAATGCGACCTGGTACAAATGTAATGACACCTTATCAAAGTGTCGTCGTCCAATTGCCTTTAAGAATGTCTCAGTTTAGGATACCACCCGTTGAGTCGTTTCACTGAATGTTCTATTTATACGATCTACATCGAGGTCTACATTGTTGACTGTCATCTACATCAATGTCCTATTGTTGACCGTCACCTACATCAAGGTCTTATTGTTGACCGTCACCTACATCAATGTCCTATTGTTGACCGTCACCTACATCAAGGTCCTATTGTTGACTGTCATCTACATCAAGGTCCTATTGTTGACTGTCATCTACATCAAGGTCTTATTGTTGACTGTCATCTACATCAATGTCCTATTGTTGACCGTCACCTATATCAATGTCCTATTGTTGACCGTCACCTACATCAAGGTCCTATTGTTGACTGTCACCTACATCAAGGTCCTATTGTTGACTGTCATCTACATCAAGGTCCTATTGTTGACTGTCATCTACATCAAGGTCTTATTGTTGACTGTCACCTACATCAAGGTCCTATTGTTGACTGTCATCTACATCAAGTCTATTGTTGACATCAAGGTCCTATTGTTGAATGTCATCTACATCAAGGTCCTATTGTTGACTGTCATCTACATCAATGTCCTATTGTTGACTGTCATCTACATCAAGGTCCTATTGTTGACCGTCACCTACATCAAGGTCCTATTGTTGACTGTCAACTACATCAAGTTCCTATTGTTGACTGTCATCTACATGAAGGTCCTATTGTTGACTGTCATCTACATCAATGTCCTATTGTTGTCTGTAAACTACATCGAGGTCCTATTGTTGACTGTCAACTACATCAATGTCCTATTGTTGACCGTCAACTACATCAAGGTCCTATTGTTGACTGTATTCTCTACATGAAGGTCCTATTGTTGACTGTGATCTACATGAAGGTCCATTTGTTGACTGTCAACTACATCGAGGTTCTATTGTTGTCTGTCAACTACATCAAGGTCCTATTGTTGACTGTCATCTACATGAAGGTCCATTTGTTGACTCTCAATTACATCGAGGTCCTATTGTTGTCTGTCAACTACATCAAGTTCCTATTGTTGACTGTCATCTTCATCAATGTCTTATTGTTGACTGTCATCTACATCAATGTCCTATTGTTGACTGTCAACTACATGCATGTCCTATTGTTGACTGACATCTACATGAATGTCCTATTGTTGTCTGTCAACTACATCAATGTCCAATCATGAGGTAATACCTGCTTCAAGTGTCATCCCTCTTCTCTTCTTTGCTGTACAGTCGCACTGGTGATGCTATTTGTGTTGTCGATGAGGCCGGTGTTTGTGAGACTGATTACAATACTGGAGGCTGATAATGGTGATGACTACAGCAGTGGCCTCTGTGCCCCAGGGGGTGGGCGTGGCTCCACACATATCCGGGGGGACATTTGATAGCGGAGTACCATCAACGAGGATACTGCAGGGATTTGCTTCACATTAAAGATGACTCACATTACTGAAAATTAGATCATATCCGATTCTGATTTTAGAATGCAAAGAGCATTACCCATCCCTAATGTCATAACTATTGTTCCCAAGGCCATTTTCAAAATGTTTGACTATTATTATAAAATTGTTATTGACGCAGTCTTAATATAATGGCCAAAAGCAAAAGAAAAACGATTTGTCCATATTAGTATAATATTTCTTCGATGACCGATTTTCTATAGTAATATGAAAGAATCTTTTGTTCTTTAACATCTTCTATAAAAAGGGTACTTTTATAATTATCATGTTATACATAATATTAGCGACCACATGGCAAAACGTGACCACTACAGTTGATCACTACAGTTGACCACTACAGTTGATCACTACAGTTGACCACTACAGTTGATCACTACAGTTTACCACTACAGTTGACCACTACAGTTGATCACTACAGTTGACCACTACAGTTGACCACTACAGTTGATCACTACAGTTGACCACTACAGTTGATCACTACAGTTGACCACTACAGTTGATCACTACAGTTGACCACTACAGTTGACCACTACAGTTGATCACTACAGTTGACCACTATACTTACAGTTACACATTCAGTCTTCGGAACAATTTAGTAGTTTTCGGATTTCTAATATGGGTCGCCCCAGAAACCCATGCTTCACGAAAGTGAGTGAGTGAGTGAGTGAGTTAAAATTTTAAGTCACATCGGCAATATTCCAGCCATATCGTGACTAAATCAAGTTATAGTTTCATAATAATTATAAATAAATTATAAACATCTGTCAACGAAGGACAGAAAAACAACTAGATCGTTACAGATACAAATTTAAAGCCAATAATTAAATCTAAAATAGTTTAACTATTGGAGACGATACAATATAAAAACAGGCTGTAGATCGTCAACAACTGTAGGAAATCCCCATACTAGGGACCATGGGGACTAACAGAGCCTTTGCTACCTGCATGGATTTACACCACCCCGTCAGTTGCTGGCGATTGTAGGAAAAGTTTGCCATAATTTAAAAGCACAAAACTACTATATTTAATAAATAATTGGTATGTTTAAATTTCCCTCGATGGTTTTGGGACTTACGTATCACTTAACGAAAGAGGTGGCTAACGAAATTAGGGTCGGGATGACTTACTTAGTGATTGTGTCATCGTTTACCGATCGATGCTCATGATGTCGCCCCCTGGTTTGTGCGTTCTTGACTTGAATATTTATAGACCGCAGTTATATGGCTGGAATATTGTTGAGAGCAAGGAAACATCATAGAAACATCTAAACAAAAACGTTATGTTGCTTACACATGCTACACACATGCTTACACCGCCCCACAAGACCGCCTCCGTGGTGTAGTGGTTAGAGCGTCCGCTCGGAGAGCGGAAGGTCGCGGGTTCGATCCCCGACCGCGTCATACCAAAAGACTATAAAATATGGTACTTGTTGGTCCCTGGCGTTCGGCATAAATGGGGACTGGTCGGCTCGGAGTCAGTATAATGTGTCTGAGTGGGGTATTCATGCTTCACTGCGGCGTGGTATCTCAGTGGGCTAGCACTATAAAACCAGCTGAAGTCTGGGCTAGTACAAGCAGCCGCACATATACATACACACGCATGCACGTCGTCATATGAGCGAAATATTCTCAAGCACGACGTTAAACCCAATTTCACCTAACCTCACCTCACCTACACCGCCCCACTAAAAAGTGGGGTGATGGGGTAGCCTAGTGGTTAAAGCGTTCCCTCGTCACGCTGAAGATCCGGGTTCGATTACCACATGGGTGCAATGTGTGAAGCACATTTTTTTTATGTCCCCCGCCGTGATATTGCTGGAGTATTGCAAAAGCGGCGTAAAACCAAACTCACTCACTCACTCAAACAAAGTATGGGAACCTGAACTTTAAATTTGGATAGCAAGTATAAGCGTTAACACGCTTTTAAAAGACAGACATCTTACGAACGCACCACCATTTGTCTTCATTACCACCCCTAAACAGAACGCATGGGATGCACGTACACAACGCAGTAGCCCCATACACCTGCATGGGGTGTCATTTTTCATTTTGCGTTTTTTAAGGAAGGTTGATAAATCACTGTAAACCATTAATTGTGACAATCGTCTTGCATCACACAGTTGTTAGTGTTTGTTTCTAGCCTGGTTTTTTGTTTGAAAATGAAAACCGTACAACTATGGTCAAATGGAAGCACAAGTGGTGATGGTCACTGACTCACTGACTCACTGACTCACTCACTCACTCACTCACTCACTCACTCACTCACTCAC